CGGGCGGTTAATGCCGTCGTTCTTTTATAGGTGCTGGGCAAATCCTGCAAGCCCATTCCAGGTAAGCCCGTCTCACGTTCCCTCTGCGCCGCCCTGGTTTCTCGTGCCCCTGGCAGGCCCTCGGCTGTCGCGGCAGCGCCGATCCCCTTCTGCCCGCTCCGCCGCGGGAAGCGCCAGCGGCGTTTTATCCGTGTGGTGTTCTGTTGGGCCGAGTCCCAACCCCGTGAGAGGGCTTGGGGAGCGGTTTGTGACGTTTCTTCTTTACAGTCATGCTTTTAGGAGTGACTCTGCTGCGGAAGAAGTATCCCCCGGCCAAGTACCTCTGCGTCCTCCTGATAGTCGCAGGCGTGGCCCTGTTTCTGTACAAACCTAAGAAGGGGGCTGGGAGCGACGACCACGTCTTTGGCTACGGAGAGCTGCTTCTGGTGAGCGCTGCCGACGCACGGATAGCCCCGGCAGGGGTGAGGGGGATGAGCGGTTCCAGCACAGGTCAGGCCATGTCCTTCGTGCCTCAAGCGTGCCCTGAAGCTGGCATGGAAATGCTTCCGCGGGCGCCTGGGTTTGAGGGCCGCGCTCTTAAGCTGGGGTACGAGATCAGTGCACAGGCGCCTCCCTCTGGGCGCGCGTTTTGAGGCCGTGCACCGCTGTTGAGCGGGTGATTGGGGACGTAAAAAAGGGGGAGAACGCTCAGGGTTTTCCCCACAGGGAAGAAATAAAGGAGAAGGTTTTCTTTGCTTTCTCTCATCTCCGCCTCCCCTCTCCGTAGCTGCTGTCGCTGACCCTGGACGGGCTGACCGGCGTGTCTCAGGACCACATGAGAGCGCACTACCAGACGGGTTCCAATCACATGATGCTGAACGTCAACCTGTGGTCCACCTTGTTCCTGGGGGCTGGTAAGGAACACGCTGCACGAACCGCAGCCGCTGCGCCCGGAGCCTGCCCCAGGCACCAGAGACGCTGTCCTGCTCCAAAACAGGGCCTGAGCACTTTGTGCAAATAACTGCATGTTCTGCTTGGGCTTTTTTGTTCGCTTACATATAAAAAGTGGGGGTGCTTCCGCGTAGCTCTTCTCCTGCCCACCAGAGGACACCGCTTCACGCAGGGCGCAGCCGCCCAGCGCTTGGTCCCTTCTGAGCCCTCCCTGCTCCGGCCCCCGCCGCCCGGGCTCCTGCCCGGGGGCTCTCCTGCGCCGGCAGAGGAGCAAAGCCCATCCCTGTAGCTTTCTGCTCCGATGGGGGAGCAGCGCTTCTAATTAATTGCTAGGGTCTCTTTTGTCAGTTGGATCTGCGGTCAATGATTGCTTCCTTCATTCATGAATTAGGAGAGCGATGGCTTTTTCTCCTCTTTGTTTTCCACTGTGGGGAATTCAGCCTTTGCTTTTAGCAGCTCCTGTTGGGTCAGGAGCGTAAACTGAAGTTACGGCGTGTAGGCAGTGGCTGCTCGGGCTGCCTCCGGGCTCATCACTCGTGCTTTTCGTCCTGGTCTTTCTTCCAGGGATACTGTTCACTGGAGAGCTCTGGGAGTTCCTGAGTTTTACGGAACGCTACCCCAGCATCATCTACAATATCCTCCTGTTCGGCCTGACAAGTGCGCTGGGTCAGGTAAGTGCACCCCCCTTGCTCTGCAGTCTTCACGGGGAAGCGTCGGCCCAGCTGGGGGGTGGCAAAGGCAGGCTGCGTCCCTTCCCCTTTGGTCGTTGCTCGCTTTCCGTGCGGGCTGCTGTTGTAAGTTTGTGTGCAGATAATCAGGGTTTGAAACGAGGTTCTTTCGGCTCTGGCTCGATGGCTTTTCACCTGAAAGCGTGATCCGTGTTGCCCTCTTCCCAGTCAAGAGTGACAAAAGGCATCTCTTTGTTTCTTACAGAGTTTTATTTTCATGACGGTGGTATACTTCGGGCCTCTGACTTGTTCCATCATCACCACAACCCGCAAGTTCTTCACCATTTTAGCGTCCGTCGTTCTATTTGCCAATCCCATCAGTACAATGCAGTGGGTGGGAACGGTCCTGGTCTTCCTGGGTAAGTCTGGGGCGCAAACGCCTGAGGGCTTTCCCCTGTTAACTCAAACGGACGATGTGTAGCGAGGGGAGAGCTAAGAAAAGGTGCTGGTGTTAGAGAATTCTCGACGGAAGACCGGGTTTTTTTGTGCAGGAGAAGAGGAGTGTGACTTCTAGCGGCCCTGTTTGGTTTTGGGGTTCCCCCCCGGGTACATCACTGCCTCCCGGGGGCCGTTGGTAACTTGGGGCTGCTGAGCTGCTTCCTTACCAAGTTCCTTGTGTTAGTTTGTTTGGAGAACGTGAAGCAGTTTTCTATGCACATGGATCGTTTTCTCTCTTGCAGGCCTTGGACTCGATGCCAAATTTGGAAAGGGGGTGAAGAAGACATCGCATTGAGGAAATGGTTGATCTCTGCGGTGGAATGAACTTTTAATTTATTGTCTTGTACCTCAGAATCTGTTATGAAACTGGACTCAGGATAGGTAATCAGGAGGGGAGCGTCTGGATTTTTTTGTTGGAGTTTTTTAATTCTAAATTGTCTTAAAAGTGTAATACTTTAGTTTTAACTGTAATTAAGCTTTTTTTTTTTTTTTCTGTAATCAAAGCTGCATTACTAGATCCTAGCAGCAGGATGAAATTCTTGCCTTAACAGGAAAAACACTTCATATCTTTATTAAAGAAAAAGAGACAATGGCCGCTTTTCCAGAACTTTAACCTCAGTGTTGTTGGCTGATCGTGGGGAGAAAGGGCACCAAGGAGAGGGCTGGTCTTGGAATTCTGTTAGTTCTTTGGTGTGGCCTGGACAGATCCCTGGATTAAAGGCCTGTGTTGAAGACAACCCCCTCTTCTGACTGGCTGTATGGTTTTTCCGTAACTGAGCTGGTGGAGCAGCTGGTTGGATGCTCTTCCATTAAGGTCATAGGTGTAAACACGGAGACGTGTTACATCCCTCATCCGAGCCCTTCCACAACAGAGGCAACTCTTGGCACATGTAAAAGTTGACAGGAAAGCTGTTTAACCAGTGGGGCCCAAATTAATTCTTTTCATCCCCCCTGCTGATGAAGGAACGGGACCCTCTGCTGCTAAAACCCTGCCAGGGTTGTGTGATAACGGCTTCGGAATGTTGAAAGAGCCCTTGTTCATGAAGCGCCGTCGCGGTGAGCTTTCGACCACCCGCTCCCGAGCACAGGCGAGCTCCCCAGCGTTGTATGGGAGAAGTTGTTATTGTAATCATGCTTCAGAGCTGGAGAGCGAAATTCTCCAAAGAGCAAACTTTACACATGAAAGCTTGCTTCCACCGGCTGTCGCTGGGTCTCCATCTGTTCCGAGGCTTTGGCCTTTTGCCCCTCCAGATGGGATCTTGATCTCTTTCCTGAGCGGCTGTTGTAAGTCTCTCCCTGTCCATCCCCTGCTTCCCCCACCCCTCCAGTGTTCCTTACAACTGTTTTGGCCTCAAATTTGGTTTTCATCTAATCTGCCTTATTATCCCATAGTTCTATGCCAGCAACACGTTTCTTGCAAAATTAAACCCTAGGCTATTAGAGGGCTTTTCTCTGTCACCTTCACGGCTTTGCTAACTTACATTGTCTGAAAGGCCAAGTGATAAGTAGCAAACAAACGTTCTCAGTAGTAGAGAATCCTGAAGTAAAAGCTTCTGTGACTTAACTCCGTGAGCGCCGCCTGATGAACGCCGTGTGCTGCCATCTGCCACTGTACGGTGCTTCTGGCTTCCCTGAAGACAGTTCTGCTTCCCGGTATCTCTAAGGTAATGAATATTATTTCCATTTTATAAAAGGGAGCAGAGAAATTGCATGACTTGTCCACGAACACTGTGGCAGAGATAAGAATTAATTATCTTTTGTGTGTCTTAATTACAAAACTATCTTTCCCCTGTGTTTATAGGACTTGTGCTCCACTATCTCAAATTTAACCAATTCTCAACCTCGGCAACCAAAAGCAGCAAAAGGATCCTAGGCGAGTTCTCAATTCTATTGGTTTTGCAGACTTGTTTTCCCTTCTATTAAATCAGTAATCTAATGCAGGAATAGACCCAGCTCCTCCGCCACTGTGCAAATACAAACGCCTGCAAAATGCTTTAGAAATCACTCACTCCCTCAGCCATCCGCTTCCTCATGATAATCTTGGAATTTCTGTTCAAACATGTCGCCTGTTAGGGATATCTGAGTCATCGCCGTTACAAACCACTACTCTATTTTACTGTGTGTGCTACAGATCAAAGGGGAAATTGCTCTTATTTTGGTTCCACAGAAGCAGAATTGCTTATTAGTGATAACTCTATACCGACTAAAGCTCTCGAGAAAGCATGTGATCAGAATTGAGGGACCGAGCTAGCAGCAGCTTTTCTGCGCCGTGCTGTCGGTCTGCTGTTGGCAATCACCTCTTTATGTACAGCATCTCGGGCCAAATTGGTGCGTCCGTGTATGCGCGAGGAAGTCTGCTCTTCCTGAGCTCTTCTACCCCCTTTCGCCCTGAGTCTAGATGTAGCTCTAGGAGAGACAGCATCTTAAAAATGAAACAAAGACTTCATTGTTAATTTTTTCCTTAACCATTGAAGAGAAGCCACCGAAGTTTCGAGGGAGCTTTTGCTCAAACCCACAGGTCTGTCCCCGTCCCCGCGCTGCAGCAGCCTAGACGACCAGCAGAGAGAACGAAGCTGGAAGCTTCCTAGGCTCTGTTTCCTAAGCCAAGATCTATCCCTACCAATATCTTCAACTTGTCTGTATTCAGAGCACAGATTTCAAGATCAGTCTGCCAAGAAGGAAGAAAATAAAGGAGATTTTCTCTCTCCTGATTGCTGCAGGCTCCCTTGACCCACTTTAGCTCTAAAGCCTGTTCCTGGTATTGCTCCAGCTTGGTTCTTGCTGCACCTCTGACTCTTAGTCAATAAGAATTTCTTAAAACAAAGGCAGCTCTTGTACCTACCCTGAGCTTGAATCCTTTGGATTTCCGTGGACAGCTTGCTGTCTTCTCTCCAGACCTCACGTACTGCAAGATCCCAGAGGAGGATGCGAAAGCAATTCTAGAAGCTATTTTCGAATCAGCACCAGCGTTTCTTCTCGGCCAGTTTTAACAACACTGCCACAAAACAGGTCCCTGGCTTTGAGCCGTGGGGAGGCCTGCCGTAACACCTCTCCCCAGTGACAGACTGGGTACCACGTTCTGCCAAGCCTGCTGGTGGCTCTGGGGTATGTTCCTGCGTGACTTCAGCTGTCTCTTTAAATAAATAAAGACAGGCAAACGCCAAAGGAACTGGGGTAGGAGCCAATGAAGTTTTCATCCTCTGTGTTACTTTTTCCTATTAGAAATAGTAGCTCCTCCTCAAGGCACCTTTTGCAGAGGGATAATTATGTTCAGTGTTTTTTGGGCTTTGTTTTTTTTTTTTTATAAATGGTGCAAGTGTCTTCAGAGGCAATGCTTGAATTTCTGGTGAAGTGTCAGGAAAGGTTTTGTCTTCAAGTGAGAGATTACCGATCTACAAAGCATTGATGGAACTTTAGGTACTGCGTAACATCTAGGGTACGGCTGTGCAAAGGCATCTGTACCTACTGCTGGTGAGTTAAATTTTGTTTAAGGGAGCGTTCTGTGGTAGCCTGTGCACCTGTAAGCAGTTCAGAGGTCTCTAGGGACTAAAGCACAGCGCCCAGGTTCTCTACCAACAATCTGGGCTTCGCCAGTTCTGCTATGACTGGGTTTGTGTCTCTGCTTTTTTTAGACATTCTCCAGTTTATTAGAAGGGAGCAAACCTAGTTCAGTTAAGACTACCGTGATCTTTTTAGTCTTGTGTCCTTAATCTGCCTTTTCTCCAGCTGAAAGCAAGCAGTAGTTTTGTGTAATGGCGTATTTTCCAAAATGAAAAGTTTTTGTAAAGCGTAAAACATCCCCCTTTGCAGCCAGGATGGTAGGTGCTTTGAACAGCCCTGTGCAGCGCGTTTGGGCTGGCTTGCCCAGGAGTTGCTGAAGGGAATGCTTGTGGCTTGCTCCTTCCGTAGCAGCTGTGACTGGTCTTTCTCCCAGTAGAAGAGGAAGGGAAATCGGATGAGTAGGAGGTGAATTTATTAAGTGCCTTAGACCAAGCCCTGCAAGCACAAAACATGAAGGTCAGGCTGAGAAGTTACGAGGAGATTCCATCTTCCTCTTCTTTTTGTGGGCTGCAGAGTCCCAACCCTGAGTCCATTTATGACTCAGCCAGTTACCAGCAGGGGGAACTCTTTTATTTCAATAATTTTCAAGAAATTCAAGGAGAAAGCCAACAAAAAAGCGGTTCCTCTTTGATTAGCGATATAACTGCACTTCTAGAGTCTTTGTGCTTACAGGGAAAACATAATGTGGAAATCGAGGTCTTCATTTTTATTCTGCTTAATTCCTTTTGACTGTCAGCAGAGACTACATTGAAGCTAAGTCGTTAGAAGCTAAAGACAATCACCCTCTCCTCTGTAGAATGGCCCTCATTACAAACAGCATGAGTGTAAATAAGCGTGTGCGCACCTGCGCGTCCTCTTGTCCTCACAGCTGGCTTCCCGCAGAGCAGCAGCTCCTGGCATCACAGTCGGTGTTTTGGAAAACATTTCTGCCAGAATTCTCCTAGGAACCTTGTCAGTTCTTGGTGGTTCCAGGGAGATGAGGAGAGTCACACACGTACTGAGAATAAACAGCAGATTACATTGCTGCAGTGTTTGTGCCTGTTGTCCCTCCAGGAGGAATGCACTGATGTGTCAGCTAAGAAAGGTGAAGTTTTATTTCATGGCTAACTGAGACATGGCATCCACGGGGGGGAAAAACACAGCAGCTGCGTTCCTTTTCCTTTCATCTTCCTTGCTTTTACGAGCTCCTTCTGCAACTCCATCAGCAGATGTTTAAAACCCCCCGAATGCTTAGAGAGCACACAGGGCCAGGCAGATGGCGCTGACTGCGCCTGTGTTTCGTAGATATAGGTGTATAACACTTGATAATTTTCTGGTCACAGGATGGTAAAGACCCGTGCTCAAACGACAACAGTGTAAGGGATAACGAAGTTGTCGTTACTGCTTTGAAATCAATGAATTGCCAATCTTGAAGATGGCACTTAAAAACCAACCCTAAGGGTCAGTCGTCAAGACCAACGAGGATTTATGCTGTGCCACTCAGTTCTGAGTTGGTGACGATGTGAGCTTATCCTGCAGGATTCCGCATGCTCTTGCAAAGGAAATGGGAATTCCCGTCAGATTTCACGGACTGGAAAGCACATGAGAATCAAAAGAGCACCCATCAGGGGAAAATACATGCCAGCTCCAGAGTCCCACCTTAGCCTGTAGTGAGTTTATGGTGAGCAGCAGCAAGGAGAAGCTCGTAAGGCCGGTAGGGCTGGGATGCGCATCAGAGGGACGCGCTCGTACAGTGAACAGTTTCACACTTAGCTTTACAGTTGATAACCAGCGGAGTTTCGGCAACTGAGCCAGGGATGCACCTAGGGAACAGGAAGAACAGTAACTGCCTCCGACTGGAGCCAAGACAGCTGGATGTCACACCGGCGTGAGGTATTTAAGGGTTTAAATATTTTAAGGAAAAGATTAAGATGAAAAGTGCGCTTAAGGCTTCAGAATTAAATT